GGTGATGATGGTCAGACCTACACCGTCAACTACATCGCCGATGAGAACGGTTTCCAACCACAGGGTGCTCATTTGCCCGTCGCCCCAGTTGCTTAAGTGAACACTCGTTATTTGAGTGGGATTAATGGAGCTGTTATTAGGTTTTAAGTGGGAAAATTATGTTGAATAAAAAAAAAGGAATACTTAAGTTGAAAAGAAATGATTTATTTTTTAATACGCGAGGACTCTTTGTTTGTTGTCAGGACTTTTTGACTTTTTTTCAGCGCCAAACAAATTTATTTAGTTTACTCTTCAAGCTGCAAAACAGCGTAACATTTGTCAAACTGGTACTCCTCATTGCAGACTGCGCTAAAACCGAAGCTTACGACAGATCCTATCTCCGCCATCTAACCAAATACCTGATGATAGTAGCTGAAGGATTGCAACTTTGACGATGGAAGTATTAATTAGTATTTGACTATTCAAGTCATGTTCTTGATCCAAATCTGATTGAAGAAGTTTTGCGATAATGGACTTGCGCTGCAGTTTTACAATTTTTCAAAGTAGATAGTAAAAATCGTTACTTTGTGGGAAGTATTTCGTAACTTTGAGGAGAATGTCTCAAATATTTATTTGCACAAATATTCAAACATAACATAATTTAAACCCATTTAAAGGCTTAAAAGAAATTAATTCTGTGAAGACACAGTGTAGAGTGAGGATGAAAGTATTGGAGATAGTGATTTAAAGGTGCTTTTCAATGCCAAAGGATACCATTTTTACTGAAAATATTATCCTACACTGATTTTTCTACGGCTAGGTTTTAGCTTAATTATAAAACTTAGGCATTGTGGAATCCTTAATGGCTCTACGACTGACATTGGGACAAGGTCAGGAGTTTCCTATTCTCTTTTATGGAATTTGCTTCCGCAATTAATGCCGTAAAATTGGCTGTCCTTAAGGACAGTAACAGCATGGGTGGAAAATAGGAATGGGCACTGGTCTAATACGTTGAAGCCATTGGCCAGATTTCTAACTACATAGTTCTAAACTAGGCAATGCAGATCTCAGCTAAATTATGTTAGCACATATGTACCTATAACGAAATTGTTCAACTCTCGGCGCTAGTTGCACAGGAGCTGCTTAATTTGGTTTAAAATAGCAATTCCTACTTTAGTCATTGAATCCATCATCAGAAGCTAGGTGAATATTTCGTTCAGCAATGGTGGTGAGCAAACTTGACAACTTTATTTGTCCTTTCTGTCTTAAAGAAGATGCGGCGGCAGGACAGTTTTTGTGCTTTGGCCCATCTCCGCAATTACGGTACGGAGCCTGAGTGCTGTTTCTTGCAGGCGTTGTGTAGGTTGGTCTGGTACAGCAAAGCAGCTTTTCCTCCAACTATTTATTTAGAGAGCAATGCCCAAATTCATAATTGGACGAGGGAAAAAACTTTTGGGAAAGAATAGTTGATCTTAGAGGTATTCTCCCCATTCTTCGGAAGTCTTCTAAGCTGCATCCAATTTCCATAAATTACCCCGATTCCAAGGTGGCACAGCATATGCCGAAGGATGAATGACCAGGGTGGTGACTGGCTCCTAATATACAGACTTGGGATCTCAAGGCACCGAGAAATATGTAAGCCAAGGTAAACCCTTTCATTTGATACCCATATTTGTAGTCCGCAATTTTATGAGCGGGGGTCATATTGGATTTACAATAATACTGAATACACCGTGCGACAAAAAAAAAATAATTTCAAAACACACGTAAGAATCGATATACTCACGAAACTATGGACCAAATACATATAGTAGAACTGCGTTTTTAGTTTTTCACTCTGGCGTCAGGATTTTTTTTTTACAAAGGACTTTGAAATTTTCAATATATGATTGGTTTAAAAAATTAGTAAAAAAAATCAGTGCAATATAAAATAACGCTATGGGTACCAAATTAGAGAGAAAATTCTGCAAAATTTAAAATCAATAAAGCTTTTTGGTTTACAAGGACGAATAGGTATTGAAAATGCATTAATACATTTTACCTTTATAAGTTAATTAAGTTTGCAGGGCGAAAATCGATGATAAGCTCGTGCGTATATTAGCCCTCAAACAATAATTAAAAAATATATTGCAAATTTTCAAAGACCTTTAAGGAAAAAATTTGTAAAGGACATTTTCCATGCCCATTCGTCCTTATTTACCAAAAAATTTATTCTGTTATAATTCTACAGAATTTTTTCTTTTATATGAAACCTTTATTGCACTAAATATTTTAATTATTTTTTTGAAATAATCATATTTTTTTAATTTCAAAGTCCTTTAAAAAAAATCCTTACGCCAGAGAGAAAAACTAAGTACGCACTTTTAGTATAATTTACTCACGAGTTTTTTTTTCAAATCATTTAAACTAACTTGGAACCAAATTAGGAAAACTTCAATACTCTGTAAAAGAAATTAAAAATTAATATTCACATTTTCAAAAAATTTAAAAATTGTCTATAGTCGTCGTTAAACAAAATCATCAACTACTATCACCTATTCACCTTGTCATTTGAATTTGACCAAATAAGAGTAAAAAAAACAAAAATCCTTTAATATGAAAAATACAATGCAAGCGAAACTAGTTTGCTAATTAATCGACGTCAAAGAATCTGCGTCATCAAACTTAAGAACTAACCAATTGCTTTTGTCTCTTTAGCACTGCAGATGGCCACAGCTATTAAATAGTAACATTTTTGCATAAAAGCAAGTGGTCATTTTGTCAACTACAACAGTTAGTAGTCTGATTTCGCGGCCTGCACACACAGCAAATAAATCACAAAAAATTTATAAAATGAAATTCGTTATTGTCTTCGTCGCGCTCTTCGCACTGGCCATTGCTGCGCCAGCTGGTCCTGAAGTGGAGGTCGTAGAACAGAGATCCGATGTAGAACCTGAACAATACAGCTTCTCGTAAGTCGCTCATGAAGAAACAGGATCATAATAGAGCAAAACAGAAATTAAACAATTTATGAACTTTCAACAAACTTAGTTCTTCATAAAATTTTCTTTGATTCTTTATTCCTTCAATAGTTTGAAGACCAGTGATGGCACATCCAAGCAAGAAGAGGGTAAGTTGGTGAATGTTGGCGCTGAGGACGAACACATTGTTGCTCGCGGTTCCTTCTCCTTCGTAGCCGCTGACGGTCAGACCTACACTGTCAACTACATCGCCGATGAGAATGGCTTCCAACCTCAGGGCGATCATTTGCCCGTCGCACCAGTGGCTTAAGTCAATACTTTTTAATTGAGTGTGAATTTGTGGAACTGTTATTAGCTTTAAGTGTGAAACGATGAAAAAAAACTAGAAATTAAAAAATACAGTAATAAAATTATGTTAAGAAAATCGAAAATATTTCGTTAGTTTTTATGTTTTAACTAACTAACAGGTTGGCCAAAATATTAAGTTAAGTTAAGTTACGTAAATAAGGTCTTGACTAAATGAGCTTTAAGTTCTATCCTGTTTGAGGATGGAGATTTGAATAGGGGAATTTTATACGTTCTCGTTAACAGTAAATACCATATCGCTCTTGCTAGGACCGACGCCAAGTCGACATTCCTTGGAACATAAGCTTACAAGGCAGAGTGCAATATCATACTCCGGACGTGCAGATGTTTATCCATTGTAACGATTACTACATCATCAGCATAAGCTATGACTTGACAACCTGTGCCCTTTGGGTTTAGAAGAAGGGCGTTAATTTACTTTGAAGTGCCTACACAATCTTCGAATGAAAAATTACATTTATAATGACAAAACGGCGAAACCGACCTATGTCCAAACCTAATATGTCAAAGAATGAGAGAGATTGGTCTCATAACACATGATACTCCTACTATTGCAACTTTTCAAAGCTAAAACTTTGAAATGCTTTTAGATTAGGTTAGGTTGAAGGGGCTGTCTGCATCCAATATAGGAGCGAGCCATACTTAGGTCCTGTGTACCGCCTTCTGGTGTCCGATAGGGTAGGGCAGTGACAGCGATATTGTTCAATACTATTAATTTCTTCCTAGCCGGCAAGCCCATCCTGTCAGCATGCCCTCCCATCAAGCAGTGAGCTGTTGTAATTGCGGTCACTTGCCTAAGTAGAGGGCGCCCTAAACGAATGAGGGTGTTGGATCTTTTCTTGTCGAAGCACGGCCAGATTTGTCTAGTCGCTTGACACGTGGAGTTCTCCTACTTTACTTTACATGTTTTAGATAGTAGTATGCAAGCATCGTGAAAAGAATTGGCTTCAGACAGGGTGGTTTCCTACTTCGCAAGCTTGTCTGCTGCACAATTACCGTGTAGGTCTCAGGGACCTGTGTGTTTCTGGGACCTGAAGCTAACTCGTTAAGGACTTTCCTCTATTCCATCGAAGTTTTTGACGAGTTTTCGGAGCGTTTCAGTGGCTATCGGAATATAGGGTTAGGGAAGGCAGATAAAGAGAATATTCCTCTAAAGAGGGCGTGACCTCCGCTTGGAAGTCTCTGTAATTGTCTGGAAGCCTAAAGCAAGAAGCTAATAAGATATCCTACGAGTGTATCCCACTCCCTAGTCTTAGATTTAGTTAAGAGCCATCCGGATAGACGGCTGCAGAGATTCCCAGTTTCTCCTCTAAGGGGTACGAGTGGAGAACTTGTTTCTCGAGCTCGAGAGGCGATGGTGTATAGTCTGTGGCTCTAAAACTATCGGGGCAGTTAGTTAGAATGTGAGTTTGGCCGAACCCGGTGTCTTTATATTTTGAGAGTGCTTATGAAATCAATGCGTGCAACAGCACGCAGACTACATGACGTCCTTTATTAGACTGTTTTCGTATTTCACTTTAATCTCTTTGACATCTACAAGAACTATCAATAAAACGGAGCAGATTATTGAGCGTTAAAGGGCTGAGGTGTTCGTCTCACAACAAATCACTGTAAAAAGCCTCATACTTCATCCTTGAAAAGGCGGGGCAGAATCACAAAACGTTTTCAGCCACCTCCTCCTATTAAGGCAGGAAAACGAAGTCGGATTCGCAGTCTCATAAGTTGCCTGCAGTCCCATCTCATCAGTGAAAGTAAATACGTAATACGAACTTTGGAGATTGAGGACAAAATGAGTTGTGCCCACCTACAACCACTTAAAGCCTACACATCAGTTTCTGTTGGATATAACTGGTTGCAGACTAATGAATAACTGGTCTGAGATTTCTCTAGACAAATGATTAGATGTCTCATTACAAGGTACTGCCTGGAGCGCAAAGTAAAACCACTTCGCTATGTTTTCCTAAGATGTTGACCCCACGCAACCCATCCAGTCTATATACGCGTTGTGCAAACACGTAGCTCTCCCGTATGACTCTTATGTGCCGTCTATTTATCCGTAAGGTAACTAGCCGACTAAGAATACTACAGGCCTATTTGGGTTATCATCAGAACAGTAATATTCCTACCTTCACTTGCGACTGCACTTGCGGAGACCCCGCTTGGAAGGGGGGCCGTGGCGCAAAAAGACAGCTTTGCCGAGGCCACACCTCTGCCTTTGTTTAAGATACACGAAATTGGCCTTGTCCGCACAAATTCGTGCCATATCCGCACTACCGGATGTAGCGGCAATAATCCTTCGTGTGCTACCGTCACGGTTTGAGGGAACATTGGGGTGGCCAGCACACTCCAACCTTTGCCCATGCAACCAAAGGAGGGTGCAATCCTCGCCTGCATAGGCAAATTTAGAGCCTGCAATCTAATATTGAACTCTATAGGTCTTTGCGCGTATCTGACCTGTATCGAAACCGATGTATTAAGCCGAATTTGATAAAGTATTTGTCTTTTTAATAAGTATCTTACGACCGCTTCCTTCATTCAATAAGAATTAGAGAATAAAATAGTCGATCCAGTTTGTGAAAATGATACGCGACATCTTTTCATAATCGAATCGCTACAATATTAATTTATTTTCTTTCTTTTTTCAAGTTTTCTCTCTGCTAATTTTTGGATCTTCAAAAACTTTTAATGATGGTGCGACTTCTTTTTTTTCTTGCCATTTTATTTGCGTGCTATACGTCACTAACAAATGGGTAGGCTTTGCTAATTTTAGATAAAAATATTTGCATAAAATTGCTGATGCAAATTTTTTTTAATAGCAGCAAAACTTGTTTAATATAAGACTGAATTCAAATGACCAAAAATACGAAAAAAGCTGTGTCTTTAAGAATAAGTGAAACAAAACATACACACATAATGTATATACATATGTATGTATGTACGTAGATGTGTGCCCTTTATGCTTTTTTCTCTCTCTAAATTTGACACAACTTTCATATAAAAGCATGCTGCCTATATTTAATCCTCAACAGTTAGTAGTCTGATCTCGCAATCTGCACAACCGGCAAACTCCAAACAACAAAATTTTCAACATGAAATTCGTCATTGTTTTCGTTGCTCTCTTCGCTTTGGCTTATGCCGCACCAGCTGCTCCTGAAGCAGAAATCGTTGAATTGAGATCTGATGTTGAACCCGAGAAATACAGCTTTGCGTAAGTAAAAAAAAAATGAACTGATAGTAGTGAAAAAAGAAATATATAAGTAAGAGCGAGAACAGAAATGAGGCATGCTTCCTTCCCAATTATTTTATTTAAAAAAAATTGTATTTTATTAAAAAAAAACATTTTCTTTTCTGCTAATTTTAGCCTGAAGACCAGCGATGGCACATCCAAACAAGAAGATGGTCAATTGGTGAACATTGGTGCTGAGGATGAACACATTGTTGCCCGTGGCTCCTTCTCCTTTGTCGGTGATGATGGCGTAACCTACACTGTCAACTACATCGCTGATGAGAACGGTTTCCAACCCCAGGGTGCTCATTTGCCCGTCGCCCCAGTGGCTTAAGTCAGCACTTGTTAACGGAGTGGGATTTGTTGTTGTTTGGTTTAAAATAAAAAAAAATGTTTAACGATTAAATTTGTGATATTTTTTTTATTGTGGTGTATTGGTAGTGTGGGGTGTTAACCATTGGGGAGAGATCGAAAGGCATTCTCCATATAACGCTTAGAGAGTCACTATGTCAATGTATAAAGTAGTAGATGATAAGCTTGGTCTGACCAAACGAGTTTGGGTCCTGTGGATTTCGGGAAATATTGGTATTGAAAGAAACGATATTGCTAATAAACTTGCGAAGAAAGGAGCATCAACTCCTTTCAACGGCCCTGGGACCTTCTGTAGCAAAGGAAAAGGGACACTCTTTGGCACAATCTACCAGGTATAAAGCTTCCAAAGTACTTTTGGGGATATATAACTTAAAACGATTAAAGGATTGTATGAGCCTATCTAAGGATAACTCAAGAATTCTGACACAGGATTCTGACAGGACTAAACTGGGAATTTACTCGCAGAAGCGATGCAAATTTTGCAGGATGGATATCAAAGAAAGGTGTCCTGTACTGATTCACAAACGCAAAAGAACCTTGGGTGAACATTTAGTAACCGAAAGCGTTACAAACGTTGCTATGAAGGTGCTACAATAGATCTTGAGGCCACAGTGCTTTATCACCAGCAGCAATACCACTAGCCTACAAAATTTGAAAAAAGTTCAGACTCTGGTACTAGCGTATACTTTTATAAAGGTTTTTTGAGCTCTAAATCTGAATCCGGTATCAGATTTGCTCCATTAGCTGAGATTTTCGAGATAATCAAGCCTCAAGATGGCTTGTGTAGTTTCATCACGAACAATTACTTTTTGTAGAAAATTAAAGCTCATTTGAAAGTAAATATTTTTCCCTTGAAACAACTTGTTCTCTCAACCAATTAACTTCTTTTAAATCTGAGTTATTGTGCTCGGAAGTTTATGAGTTTTGCGCCCTATAATCAGCGAGCTTGCAGCTGCGGCATCGGGGAGTATTTTGGCTGTATGTTCGAGAGGGACCCAGTATTCCGCAATCGCGGTTGTTAACCTGTTGAAAAACTTTATTGACCGCCTAGAAAGGATTCATTTTTGTTCTTTAATTTTTTTAAATTATTCCATTTTTTTTAGCCATTAATATTATGGATTTCTAATAATCTTTGTAATAATTTTGATAGGAAGAATTTCAGGCGTTTTCTTCCAGCTTTGTTGACTATAAGTCAAGCTGATTCAGGCTTTGTTGAACCATTCTATCTATAATTTTATAGATTCATTGAGCTTCTTTGGCATTACAGGAATAACTGTTTGTAAACTTACATATCGAGGGTTTATATTCAATATGACCTACCTGCAGTTTTCACAAAAGTGAGATTC